TTCCTGTTTGCCAACTTTGTTAAATTTCAACATTAATGGTCAATGGTAGGAAATGTTCGTAACAGTTTTCTCAGCATGTACTTTTCACAGCCTCTTGATATTTGGCATACAGCATTGACACGTGGTCCCATACCGTGGGATTTGATTTCAGGTCTGTCGCTCATCTACTTCCTGTTTATCGACTTAGTTAAATTTTTGACATTAATGGTCAATGGTAAACATTTTTTGTAAAATCACAGCCTCATGATATTTGGTATACAAATGCAACCTGGCCTTCTTTGTCTTTGACCCATTTTTTATAAGTTTGTATGGTTCTTTCATCACAATCATGCTGAAACAAATATATATTTAAACTAATGCACCAGTCAGTTGTAACCATAGGCAACTCCAAACCATAGGAGAAGCGTTAAAGGGCCCTAACTCTGGCAAAAATCATTACACCGGAAAATGCCGACGATTTGCAGAACTAGATTTGATACTGATTATTCCTGTAGTTTGGATGAAATTGCATCAGTAATTTCTGAGAAGTCCGGACAAGCTTCTGTGTAGCAGGCAACACAAAGATCATTAACAGGCCAGATCACCTTTTTAATTCAAGGACTTCAAACACTAAGCCAAAATGCAAGAACCCCGTGCAATATGCGCTAGGATCTGATCTACCGATCAATCCTGTAAAGTTTCAATGAAATTGCATTAGTGGTATTCGCAGTAGTCCGGACAAACCGGGTGATGCTCCCCGAGTAGGTTTTGGACACAGAACAGCATAAACAAGAACTGTCGGAGGACAGTAACGCTCGACTATTCGAAAATTTGTCACAAGGGTGTTTCATTGAGTATAATAATGCTTACCTATATGAATACATAAAATTGTCCGAAAAGGTACAAACTCTTTCAAGTTTCAATACATTCCCTTCAGTAGTTATGGAGAGACAAGCTTACATGCAAAAACTTTACCAAGAATTTAAAATGAGTCGAAAAAGGGGCATAATTATGCAAAAAAAAGCAAATCAGAGTTATGGGACTTGTACCAATATCTTAGATAATCACAGAGACCAAGTGTGTGAAGTTTCAATCCATTCCTTCAGTAGTTATGGAGATACCAGCTTACATGCAAAAACTTAACCAAGAATTTCTAAGTCGAAAAAGGGGCATAATTTATGTAAAAAAGCAAATCAGAGTTATGGGACTTGTGGCAATTATCTTAGATAATCACAGAGAACAAGTGTGTGAAGTTTCAATCCATTCCCTTCAGTAGTTATGGAGATAACAGCTTTACACGCAAAAACTTAACCAAGAATTTCTAAGTCGAAAAAGGGGCATAATTATGTAAAAAAGCAAACCAGAGTTATGGGACTTGTGCCAATCATCTAAGATAATCACAGAGAACAAGTGTGTGAAGTTTCAATCAATTCCCTTCAGTAGTTATGGAGATAACAGCTTACATACAAAAACTTAACCAAGAATTTCTAAGTCGAAAAAGGGGCATAATTATGAAAAAAAGCAAATCAGAGTTATGGGACTTGTGGCAATCATCTTAGATAATCACAGAGAACAAGTGTGTGAAGTTTCAATCAATTCCCTTCAGTAGTTATGGAGATAACAGCTTACATACAAAAACTTAACCAAGAATTTCTAAGTCGAAAAAGGGGCATAATTATGAAAAAAAGCAAATCAGAGTTATGGGACTTGTGCCAATCATCTTAGATAATCACAGAGAACAAGTGTGTGAAGTTTCAATCCATTCCCTTCAGTAGTTATGGAGATACCAGCTTACATACAAAAACTTAACCAAGAATTTCTAAGTCGAAAAAGGGGCATAATTATAAAAAAAGCAAATCAGAGTTATGGGACTTGTGCCAATCATCTTAGATAATCACAGAGAACAAGTGTGTGAAGTTTCAATCCGTTCCCTTCAGTAGTTATGGAGATACCAGCTTACATACAAAAACTTAACCACAGGGACGCCGACGCCGACGCCGACGCCGACAAATGGGTGACTGCATTAGCTCGATTATTCTGCGAATAGTCGAGCTAAAAATGAACAAACGGCAATAACTCCAAAACAATGCAAGGCAGCGTTATGGTTATTTACACTGCAATTTCTATTCAATGAGATCTATCTACCTATAAAGTTTAGTGTTGATATCTCTTATAGTGTCAGAGCAATGTCCAAGATAAAGTTCAAAAAGAACAAAGAGCAATAACTACAATTTTAGGCAGGCCAGAGTTATGGTTTTTTAGCACTGCATTTCTACACAATGAGATCTATCTACCTACAAAGTTTAATGTTGATATCTTCAATAGTTTTCGACAAAGGTCAAAGTGTAAAAATAAACAAAGGGCAATAGTTGAAAACAAGAGGGCCATGATGGCCCTGGGGTCGCTCACCTGAACATAGGCCCTCAGGGCCGGGCCAGTTTAAACCAAAGGGCTTTTATTTGAACAAACTTGGAAGACACCCATTAGAAGATATTTCATGATGTTAAGATTTTACTATACACAAATTATGAATAACAATGACTTTGCCCCCCCCCCCCTCCCCCTGGCAGGGCCAATTTTGACCCAAGGGCTTTTATTTGAACAAACTTGGTAGACATCCATTAGAACATGTTTCATGCTAAATATCTCAGCTCTAGCTCTTTGGGTTCTTTAATAGAAGATTTTTAACTTTTTACTCTATGTATATAGGGAAAATCAATGACCCCTGGGACGGGGCCAATTTTGACCCCAGGGCTTTTATTTGAACAAAATTTTGTAGACACCCATTAGAACATGTTTTATGCTAAATATCTTAGCTCTAGCTCTTTGGGTTCTTTAAAAGAATTTTTTTTTTAAGTTTTTACTATATGCATATAGGGAAAATTAATGACCCCCTGGGGCGGGGCCAATTTTGACCCCAGGGCTTTTATTTGAACAAACTTGGTAGACACTGATAAGAAGATGTTTCATGCTTAATATCTTAGCTCTTTGGGTTCTTTAAGAGAAGATTTTTTTAAGTTTTTACTATATGCATATAGGGAAAATCAATGAACCCTGGGGCAGGGCCAATTTTGACCCCAGGGCTTTTATTTGAACAAACTTGGTAGACATCCATTAGAACATGTTTCATGCTAAATATCTCAGCTCTAGCTCTTTGGGTTCTTTAATAGAAGATTTTTTTTTAACTTTTTACTCTATGTATATAGGGAAAATCAATGACCCCTGGGACGAACCAATTTTGACCCCAGGGCTTTTATTTGAACAAATTTTGTAGACACCCATTAGAACATGTTTTATGCTAAATATCTTAGCTCTAGCTCTTTGAGTTCTTTAAAAAAAGATTTTTTAAGCTTTTACTATATGCATATAGGGAAAATCAATGACCCCCTGGGGCGGGGCCAATTTTGACCCCAGGGCTTTTATTTGAACAAACTTGGTAGACACTCATAAGAAGAAGTATTAATGCTAAATATCTTAGCTCTAGCTCTTTGGGTTCTTTAAGAGAAGATTTTTTAAGTTTTACTATATGCATAATAATTATAGGGAAAATCAATGACCCCCTGGGGCGGGGCCAATTTTGACCCCAGGGCTTTTATTTGAACAATCTTGGTAGACACTCACTAGAAGATGTTTCATGCCAAATATCTAAGCTCTAGCTCTTTGGGTTATCTAGAAGAAGATGTTTAAAGTTTTTTCTTTTGGTTGCCATGGCAACCAGAGTTCTGCATGGAATGGAATTCTTTATACAACTTTGTTAAGGCTTCACACAAGGAACATCCCTGTGAAGTTTCATTATGATCTGCCTTATGGTTTCAGAGGAGATGTCGTTTGAAAAGTGTGAACGGACAACGGACGACGTACGACAGACGAAGAGTGATCCTAATAGCTCACCCTGAGCATATGCTCAGGTGAGCTAAAAAGGCAAGACAGAGTTACGGGTCTTGTGCACTGCACATCTACTCAATGAGATCTATTTACCTACAAAGTTTCATGTTGATACCATACCTCTTGTTGTTTCAAAGTTATGTCCCAGACAAGAATAGCGGATGGATGGACAAAGCTGCGACTTTATGCTCACCCTTCAGGGAGCATAAAAATAAAGATCATTAAAGGACCCCAACTCTGACAAAAATCATTACAGCGTAAAATAATGCCAAAATACACAACTAGACTTAGTACTGATCATTCTTGTTACTGTTAAGTTTGGATTATTTGTTTGTTTGTTTCATTTTACGCCTTTCCCCTCCAACAGTATTTCAGTCATATAGGCGGGAAGTTTCCTAACCATCATTACTGGGGAGTTACACCAATACAAGACTACCTTCCTCCGCTCTGAACTACCACAGCATCTCCCGGAGATTGAACCCACGCCAGAGAGGTAACTGGATTAGAAGTCATGGACTCTTAACCCCTCGACCACAGAAGGTTCGAAATACAGTCTAGATGGATACCAAAAATAGGCTTATTTTTGCTTTACACTGCGAATTAAGCTACTTTCGTGCAATGTATTGTCGGCTTAAACTCCACTTTTTTAATCACTATGGTTATTTTGTTTTTTTGGTTCTGAAATTTAAATTTGCTGTAAAATCATTCAAAGAAGCATCAATATATCATTAACATAATTATTTAAACAGATAAATGCACTATTTCACAAATAATTCCTATTTTCGTAGTGGCTACTTTTGCAATAATAGCTTATTTTAGGTATCCATCTATACCCTATGAAATTGCAAAAGAAGTTTCTGAAAAGAAGTTCGGACAAGTTTTGTTATGGACAGACAGACGGACAGAGAACGAAGACCAGATCCCTAGATGTCAACACTACTCTGTAGCATAAAAACACATTGCTCCGACTGTGTGGCGTGGAAAGATACAAAACGTTGCCCATTTTTACCGCCATTTTCTGTCCTTCATCATAAGTGTGTGGACCATGACTACAATTCAATTTTTTTAATTGAACCTTAAAAATGTAAGATGTAAAGAAATACAATAAATAAAGACAAATGTTTATCATTTCTCAAAATATTTATAACTTAACATTAACTTACAAAACATACATATCACATATAATAATTCATAAAAAACATTAATTTAATACAAGTTACAAGACTCTTGTTAATGCTTTATTGTCATATATTTTCTATGACAAGAATTTTTATATCCAGAATTATTTGTGGCCTGTTGTGCCCTAAACTTTGTTTTATTGTCGGTCGCTATGACAACAATGCCATCCACTACATGTAGAACAGTTGGAGGTCTATCTAGTGAAGTCTGGTCTTATTGAAAGGCGTAACCTTACTGCTGGAATTATCATGTCATTAAGTTCTGTTCAGTTACACAGATAACATTATAATTAGTATTTTGATTTTTTTCTAAACAATATGGCCAGAAATATTGGTCTGTTTCTGCTCTTTGGCCTGAGAGAATGTTTGCAAGTGGAAATCTCATTTTTATAAGTATATGTTTGTACTTCGTACTTCATACAATATTTCATACAATAATATTTCACTTGAATCTCTGCAATGTTTGATTTTTATTGTAAAAGTTCTAATGTATTTAAATAAGAGGTAGCAAGCTTGTCATTTCCTAGTCTCTTTGTCCATAGCTTGTTATATAAGATCATCATAGCACCATAACTGGCATAAAATATTGCAGTGAAACATCATCATTCATCAGGTAAAAATGTACCACACTGTTGTCAGCTATATCTGAAAAGAAAAAATACATTATACTACAAGGTAATTAATTAACTTTACTCTAAAATCACATAAATTTGTGGGCATAAAATTCCGTTGATTTTTTAAATTAAAAAATTTTGTTATTCCCATCAATCCATGGATTTTGCATTTTGTTAATACTCATAATGAAGGTTCATCAGAAGATTTTTAGTTGGGGTCTAAAATGCGTGGATATGCCAATCCATCAAATCACAAAAATTAATGTTCCACAAATATTACTGACTTTACAGTAACCTTTTAGCTTGCCGTGACACATACTACCAGTGTAGACCAACATGATGACCAAATGAACTGTGAATATCAATTCTTAGCAGGAGACAATGTTTATCAGAAAAGTGTTTCTTTTGAAGGGAAGGTTTCACAAGATATAATAATAAACAGGAAGCCTATGTCACCTGCATAGAGAAATTCCAGTAAAAAAATCTGGAAACAAAGTGATCCCTCGGAAGCACCACTCACACAGTCATCTAATTTAGCACTGGCCCAATGGCCAGTGAAAAATAGTTTGGGCAAGTGTAAATTTTAAGAAAATTTAGTTAAATATATAGTAGAAAAAATTAAAAACTTGAATTCAGGCCAGTAAATTCAAAATCTCAAATTAAATGACTGCTCAAGGTCTTAACGAACAGGGTCTTAAGTGTTTCCTGCCATGTGATTTCCTGCCATGTGAGTCACATGAAAAATATCATCCCGAGTAAAAATAATGTATCCCTTGACTAACCCCTCAGGTAAAAGTATTTTCCTAAGGATTATATTTATACCCTTACTGACACACCATTGTTATATTATGTTACTCAAAAATGTAGATGTCATTTATTTCATTATCACCTATAAATACTTCATCGGGACACTGTTTCTAAAGGTTCTTATTTTTTATAGATTTTTACTGTGAAAAAGGATTGTTACTTTTGTATACAAATTTTAGTCACATGGTACACTTGAATTAACAGTAAATATAGCTCTCAGACTTGGTACTGATAATTCCTGTAAAGTTTGGATAAAATTGCACCAGTGCACCAGTAGATTATGAAGAGTAGTCCGGACAAGCTTTTGCGTATCTGGCAACACACAGAAAAAACACCTTTTTATCAAAGGGCCATAACTTGGCAAAAAATCATTCAACCGGAAAACCCGTGCAATATGCGCAAGGACTTGAGCTACAGATCAATCCTGTAAAGTTTCATTGAAATTGCATAAGTGGTATAAGAGAAGTAGTCCGGACAAACTTTAAAAATAAAAATTATTAAAGGGCCATAACTCTGACAAAAATCATTTAACGGGAAAATGCTGACAATATGCACAACTAGACTTGGTACTGATCATTCCTGTAAAGTTTTGATGAAATTGCACCAGTAGTTTATGAGCAGTAGTCTGGACAAGTTTTGTGACGGACGGATGGACAGACAGACGACGAAGAAGTGATCCCTATATGTCCCCACTACTCCGTAGAGGCGAAACACAAAAATCCTTAAACAATAAAACAAAATCCCCTTCCTATGAAATCAATCTAAGATATTTTTGGACACTTACTAGCCAGCCCACATAGCTCAATCCGTGAGAGCGCTTCACTTGTAATCTCGACATTGTGGGTTCAATTCCCGGGCTGGCCTACTTAAATTACCAAACAGTCTTTCGAATGAGTGCATTAACACTTGGCATGTTAAAGAACTAGGAAAAGCTTATGGAATGGGGGCATCTTTCTGTATCTTGCCCTATCCTCCAAAAATCTAAAATGACTAATACTTTTCTTGAGGACTTGCCCATATGGGCAACCGTTGGAGGGTACAGATAACCGCAAAATACACACACAAAGTTACGTACTACATATTACTCTACTTGGGCTGACCTGCTGACCAGATAGAAACTGAGCAAATTTTCTAATGTCTATCCTAGCTTCAGCAAATTCTTCCGGGTCATAATTTGGTGAAAGCTGTGCTGGACGTCCAGCATCATCCCCTGAAATAAGTGTTTATAAAACGTAATTCTACATATTGTTATTTTAAATCATTTAGTATAATATATAAGATATAAAATCTGTGTTTTCATATCCAAGTTGCTACAGGATTTATACAGCTGACAGGTGGACACATTGGATATGGACTGAGAACTGACCCACTGGGCTAGACTTTAGAATCTGTCTGCAGCCACTTTTAACATTTTAAATACCCAATATTATTTCTTCAATATTAATGTTTCTCTACAAAATCACTCAGATTACTTCTAGGGTAAGGAGTTACGGTTTTGAATTAGAGGGTTAGAATTTGGATTTTAAAACATGGATTTTGCTGCGGACATTTTCTAAAAGTCCACCAGGACTATCCTATCATTGGTGACAAGCATTCAGTGGTTCCTGCAACACTACAGAGGAAGGTGTCTATGTCTCTATAGTGATCAAATAAACAAACCCGATCAGATGGACAAACTTGACTATAAGTTTTCTAGTGAAAATACAATTATTTTGAGACTGAAGAAATATGAAAATCTGTGTATTAAGTTAAAAGTTCAACATAATGACATACTACTTGTGTGTATTGCCTTCATAAATTTCTGTGTTTTTCGAAATCTGCTGGGAAAAACACTGAGTATATTTTTTTTTAAAAACTTGTCAAACATGTAACAGTTCAATGTAAATGCACTGAAAATTCAAGGATTGCAAATAAAAAAAGACTTACATAACAAATTGCATATTATTACAAAATGGAATGAAAAATGTTCCAATAATTTGTGATTGAATCATGTTTTTTTTCATGATGGCCCTGAAATCGCTCATCTGTATAAAGACCCTTGAGACAGGACTAATTTTAACCCAGGGACTTTTTTTAACCAACTTGGTAGACACCCATTAGAAGATGTTTCATGATAAATATCTAAGCTCTAGCTCTTTGGGGTTTTTAAAAGAAGATTTATTAAGTTTTACTATAGATATATAAGGAAAATCAGACCACAGGGGCAGGGCCAATTTAACCCTGAGGATTTTATTTAAACAAATTTGGTAGACACTGAAGATGTTTCATGCTTAATATCTAAGCTTTAGCTCTATGAGTTAATTAAAAGAAGATTTTTAAGTTTTTAAGATATAGATATAAGGAAAATCAATGACGCAGGGCTTTTATTTGAACAAACTTTGTAGACATGCACTAGGAGATGGCTTATGCCAAATATTTATGCTGTAGATGTTTTTTAAGTTTTAAGTATATACTTATGTGGAAAATCAATGGACCCCCCCCCCCCCCCAGGAGGCAAATTTTGAACCCAGGGCTTTTATTTAAACAAACTTGGTAGACACTCATCAGACAATGTTTCATGCCAAATATCTAAGCTCTAGCTCTTTCAATTATTTAAAAGAAGATTTTTAAAGTTTTTACTATAAACATATAAGGACAAGAGCCCAGTTTGAGCCAGGTGATGCTCCCCGAATAGGTTTTGGACACAGGAAAGTACACCTCTTGTAGTTTCAGAGTTATGTCCATGGAAAAAGTTCAAATTGCAATAATTCCAAAATAGGCAAGGCAGAGTTACTGTTCTTTGCAATGCACTTCTATTCAATGTGATCTATTAACCTACAAAGTTTCTTGGTGATATCTCTTATGGTTTTAGAGTTATGTCCCGGACAACTTCAAAAAGTAAAAATAAACAAAGGGCAATAACTCCAGAATAAGGCACGGCAGAGTTATGATTCTTGTGCAATGCACATCTACCCATTGAGATATATCTACCTACAAAGTTTCATGTTGATATCTCTAATAGTTTTACAGCTATGTCCTGGACAAGATTTTTATAAAAGGGTAGAGAGTACAAAAATGAGGCTTAACAGAGTTATGGTTCTTTTGCAATGCACTTCTACTCGATGAGATCTATCTACCTACAATGTTTCATCTTGATATCTGTTATAATTTTAGAGTTATGTTCCGGACAAAGTTCAAAGTGTTACAAGAGGGCCATGATGGCCCTGAGGTCGCTCACCTGTACATAGCCCCCCCCCCCCCAACGTTGCAGGGCCAATTAAACCCAAGGGCTTTTATTTGAACAAACTTGGAAGACACCCATAAGAAGATGTTTCATGCTAAACATCTAAACTCTAGCTCATTGGGCTTTTTAAAAGAAGATTTTTTTTAAGTTTTTACTATACACATATATTTAAAAACAATGACACCCCTGGGGCCAAGCCAGTTTTGACCCCAGGGCTTTTATTTGAACAAACTTTGTAGACACTTACTAGAAGATGTTTCATGCTTTATATCTAAACTCTTGCTATTTGGGTTTTTTCAAAGAAGATTTTAAGTTTTTGCTATACACATATAAAGAAAATCAATGACCCCCGGGGCGGGGCCAATTTTGACCCCAGGTTTTTTATTTGAACAAACTTTGTAGACACTCACTAAAAGATGTTTCATGCTAAATATCTTAACTCTAGCTATTTGGGTTTTTTCAAAGAAGATTTTTTAAGTTTTTGCTATACACATATATGGAAAATCAATGACACCAGGGGCGGTGCCAATTTTGACCCCCGGGCTTAGATTTGAACAAACTTGGTAGACACCCATTAGAACATGTTTCATGCTAATTATCTGAGCTCTAACTCTTTTGGTTCTTTAAAACAAGATTTTTTAAGTTTTTACTATATGCATAAAGGGAAATTCAATGACCCCCTGGGGCGGAGCCAATTTTGACCCAGGGCTTTTATTTGAACAAACTTGGTAGACACCTATAAGAACATGTTTGATGCTCAATATCTTAGCCATAGCTCTTTGAGTTACTTAAAAGAAGATTTTTTCAGTTTTTACTATATGCATGTAGGGAAAATCAATGACCCCCGGGGCGGGGCCAATTTTGACCCCAGGGCTTTTATTTGAAAAAAACTTGGTAGACACTCATTAGAAGATGTTTCATGCCAAATATCTAAGCTCTAGCTGTTATGGTTTTTTAAAAGAAGATATTTAAAGTTTTTTCTTTCGGTTGCCAAGGCAACCAGAGTTCTGCATGGAATTAAATTCTTTCAACAATTTTTAAAGGTGACCACCAAAGGAACATTCCTGTGAAGTTTGGATGAAATTGGCTCAGTGGTTTATGAGGAGATGTCATTTAAAGTAAAAGTTTACGGACGGATGACGGACGGACGCCAGACGGCCAGACGGCGGACGAAAAGCGATCACAAAAAGCTCACCCTGTCACTTTGTGACAGGTGAGCTAAAAATTAACAAAGGGCAATAACTCCAAAATAAGGACAAAAAGAGTTATTGTTCTTATGCACTGCACATCTACCAATCAAGATCTATTCACCTACAAAGTTTAATGTTGATATCTCTTATAGTTTTAGAGTTTTGTCCCGGACAAGATTTTTCTATAAGGGGAGATAATTCAATAACTGGGCAAAAGAGAGTTATGGTTCTTTGACACTACACTCCCCCTCAATGCCCTCTACCACTGTATGAAGTTCAAACAAATTGAAGTTTAAACAAATTATCTCCAAGGCTTTTCCAGTTATGCTCCGGACAAGAAAATGGACGGACAGACAAGGCGCTGACTATATGCTCCCCCAAAAGTTTTTGGGTAGCATAAAAAGTAATGACCCCCTTGGGCGAAGCCAATTTTGACCCCAGGGCTTTTATTTGAACAGACTTGATAAACACTCACTATAAGATGTTTCATTCCAAATATCTTAGCTTTACCTTTTTGGGTTTTTTTAAAAGAAGATATATTAAGTTTTTTTCTTTCAGTTGCCATGGCAACCAAAGTTCTGCATGGAATTAAATTCTTTGAACAGTTTTTAAAGGTGACCACCAACCTGTGGACCATTCCTGTGAAGTTTAAATGAAATTGGCTTAGGGGTTTATGAGGAGATGTAGTGTAAAGTAAAAGTTTACAGACGCCGGAAGAAAAGTGATCACAAAAGCTCACCATATCACTTTGTGACAGGTGAGCAAAAACCTTGATAATGTAAAATTTTCTAAGTTAACAAAAGGGCAAAAATTTTCTTTAAATCCATGTTACAGTGATAGGCCTTGGAGAATTGTATAAAATTTCAACTTGTTTCAAAGCCCTATGAAAATATCTGAGGTGGTATGCAAATTTAAATGTAAATTACCTCCTCCTGACTACAGGTTGGGGTCATGATGGTGAACAAGTGTGCAAAGTTTCAAAGCAATATGTCAATAGACTTTGAAAATATTTGAGGGATTACAAAAACTTTAACGTAAATTCTTAGTCAAAAAGGGGCGTTATTCTGTCACAATGCTTGAAACAGATACCTCCTCCTGTCTACAGGTGGGGGTCATGATGTGGAACAAGTGTACAAAGTTTCAAAGCCATATGTCAATGGACTTTGAAAATATTTTAGGTGTTACAAAAACTTTAACATAAGTGGTTACGCCAACGCCGACACGAACACTCGGGTGACTACAATAGCTCTACTTATTCTTATCAAATAGTTGTGCTAAATAACAATGCAATTTGTTTTGTTCTAAATATGTCACACATTTTAATGAAGGTACATGTATATCAAATTATTGTAAGCATTTGATTGAAGATACAAAATAAAAGGAAAATCTAATGAATGTGTTATTCTAATGGTCCTAATAGCGGGTTACTAAGGAAATAACTTTACAAACTCAACTAAAAGCGATACAACACATCAGAATAGCCCAATAATGCAATATTCTCGATATATTTGTAGCATAGGCAGTCATTACTACAAATAATGTTAAGGGAGTTAACTACGATATTACAAGCTAAAATAGATGTTAGATTGTATCTTACTTGAAGTAGGGTTGATGAGGTCCTGGAAATGTGTACTGACTGACACCATGTCTGTTTCCACGGACACTTTTAGCTCCCCTTGTCTGTTGGCAGATAATAACTTGAATAAAAACAAAACAAAAAACAATGTCTTTGATACAAAATGTGATAAACACAAAAACCTTAATAAAGCAGATTTATTTTATATATCATACAATTGAGAAAAAAGACACACATCATACACTTGAGAAAAAAGACACACAAGACAAAAATTTGATGCATCCACAAAAGTTATACTAGGATAAATGATACAAGTGGAACAAGCAATCAACACAGGATAAGTTCTAGGTTTATTTAATGTTGATAACCGACGTTTTGACTATCACTATTCTTCATCAGAGTTATAAAAGTAATACTATTACAATTTACATATGATAAAAGTGTTGTTAGAATATGTTGGGATATGTTTGATTTTCACATCTTTCTTTCATCTTTAAGAGAAATCAAGTTTCTACATTTTACAGATCATGTTAAAGAACTGCTAGCTAGCCTTGTCAAAGCTGACGTACTCTATAAGAATTTGGATTGAAAATGAGAATTTTATTTGACAAAAAGATTTACAAAAATATACTTTGACTGAGCTTAGTAAATTATTTCAACCTATTTATCCTTTTACTGGTTCAAACCATGGCTTCCTACATGTTATTGCTATGGAATATGATCAGAAATTAATATGAACAGTACTTAGTTATCCAACACACAAAAGTGGGGGACATACCAATTTAGTGGCCATATAAAGAAAACAGATAAACCAAGTTCAAAATTGTACCAAAGTTTTGGGACATATCAAATCTTGTGAAATTCAAAGTTGAAGGCGGATTATTCCCAGCATATGCTTTTACTTTTTATGGCTCAAAAGCTTTTAATTGTTGTGTCTGGTTAAATTCTCATAGGCCAATTACCTAAACCATCATTTGTTTCTGCTGCATGGACAATTACCTAATCCATCATTTGTTTCTGCTGCATGGCAAATTACCTAAACCATCATTTGTTTCTGTTGCATGGCCAATTACCTAAACCATATTTTGTTTCTGCTGTATGGCCAATTACCTAAACCATCATTTGTTTCTGCTGCATGGCCAATTACCTAAACCATCATTTGTTACTGCTGTATGGCCAATTACCTAAACCAGCATTTGTTTCTACTGCATGGCCAATTACATAACCAGCATTTGTTACTGCTGCATGGCCAATTACCTAAACCATCATTTGGTACTGCTGCATGGCCAATTACCTAAACCATCATTTGTTTCTGTTGCATGGCCAATTACCTAAACCATCATTTTGTTTCTGCTGCATGGCCAATTACCTAAGCCATATTTTGTTTCTGCTGCATGGCCAATTACCTAAACCATCATTTGTTTCTGCTGCATGGCCAATTACCTAAACCATCATTTGTTTCTGTTGCATGGCCAATTACCTAAACCATCATTTGTTACTGCTGCATGGCCAATTACCTAAACCATCATTTGTTTCTGCTGCATGGCCAATTACCTAAACCATCATTTGTTACTGTTGCATGGCCAATTACCTAAACCATCATTTGTTACTGCTGCATGGCCAATTACCTAAACCATCATTTGGTACTGCTGCATGGCCAATTACCTAAACCATCATTTGTTTCTGTTGCATGGCCAATTACCTAAACCATATTTTGTTTCTGCTGCATGGCCAATTACCTAAACCATATTTTGTTTCTGCTGCATGGCCAATTACCTAAACCATCATTTGTTTACTGCTGCATGGCCAATTACCTAAACCATCATTTGTTACTGTTGCATGGCCAATTACCTAAACCATCATTTGTTTACTGCTGCATGGCCAATTACCTAAACCATCATTTGTTACTGCTGCATGGCCAATTACCTAAACCATCATTTGTTTCTGCTGCATGGCCAATTACCTAAACCATCATTTGTTACTGTTGCATGGCCAATTACCTAAACCATCATTGTTACTTTGCCATTACCTTAACCTGCTGCATGGCCAATTACCTAAACCATCATTTGTTACTGCTGCATGGCCAATTACCTAAACCATCATTTGTTACTGTTGCATGGCCAATTACCTAACATATTTGTTGCTGCACCTAAACCATCATTTGTTTCTGCTGCATGGCCAATTACCTAAACCATCATTTGTTACTGCTGCATGGCCAATTACCTAAACCATCATTTGTTACTGCTGCATGGCCAATTACCTAAACCATCATTTGTTTCTGTTGCATGGCCAATTACCTAAACCATATTTTGTTTCTGCTGCATGGCCAATTACCTAAGCCATATTTTGTTTCTGCTGCATGGCCAATTACCTAAACAATCATTTGTTTCTGCTGCATGGCCAATTACCTAAACCATCATTTGTTTCTGTTTCTTGCATGGCCAATTACCTAAACCATCATTTGTTTCTGCTGCATGGCCAATTACCTAAACCATCATTTGTTTCTGCTGCATGGCCAATTACCTAAACCATCATTTGTTACTGTTGCATGGCCAATTACCTAAACCATCATTTGTTTCTGCTGCATGGCCAATTACCTAAACCATCATTTGGTTACTGCTGCATGGCCAATTACCTAAACCATCATTTGTTTCTGCCATGCATGGCCATTACCTAAACCATCATTTGTTTCTGCTGCATGGCCAATTACCTAAACCATCATTTGTTTCTGCTGCATGGCCAATTACCTAAACCATCATTTGTTTCTGCTGCATGGCCAATTACCTAAACCATCATTTGTTTCTGCTGCATGGCCAATTACCTAAACCATCATTTGTTACTGCTGCATGGCCAATTACCTAAACCATCATTTGTTTCTGCTGCATGGCCAATTACCTAAACCATCATTTGTTTCTGTTGCATGGCCAATTACCTAAACCATCATTTGTTACTGCTGCATGGCCAATTACCTAAACCATCATTTGTTACTGCTGCATGGCCAATTACCTAAACCATCATTTGTTACTGCTGCATGGCCAATTACCTAAACCATCATTTGTTTCTGCTGCATGGCCAATTACCTAAACCATCATTTGTTTCTGCTGCATGGCCAGTTACCTAAACCATCATTTGTTACTGCTGCATTTTTGCAATTAGTACAGTTATACTTACAGTCAAAATACCACTTTTTCACAATTTGCTACTTTTATGACAAATAATTTCACATTCAGTGCTGCTTTCTTCAGGTGATAAACATTAAACCATACTAATGGAGTTTAAAAAATAAAATAGACATATCAAGATAACAGACATACCAAGTAAAGAGACAAAGGTTAGAGTGTAAAGACAATCCTATTTTTACTCTCAACTTGGTATCATTAGAAACCTACCAAGTTGAGAGAAATTCCAAGTTTAGAGACAACGTTAGTCAAGAGACATTCCAAGTTTTGAGATATAAAACATGAATAAACATACCAAATTATTGCTGAGATTCTTCATCTTGTCTACAATATTCCTCAATACCTTCATCTGTGGCATAATAATACTTACCTGGAATAAATCAAAACATTATCATAACATTGTCAAGTGTCAAAAAGAAATTCTGTTCATTATTGACATTTCTATCAAGCTTCCTCCTGTTTATGAATCTAACTCAGTCATTAAATGCATAATTACATCATAATGCACAGAATGTATAAAAATGTTTAGAATAATGAAGATAATGATTAAAACACAATACAAAAAGGGACAACAATAAACCAGTCCTCAGGAATTACTTCTTTTGTTCAATATATTTCTTGTGAACTTTTTATTTACATTTATTTGGGTTCTTTGACTTTTTGTTTCAATATGGTGAATAGTCATAGCTTATTAATTATTGTTAAGGAGTGATTAACATGATCGCCACTTTCTGACGCAAGTAAGTGAGAAAATTGTCACAAAGGATAGGAATAAATCACACCTTTTGATCGTTAGTTCTAACTTACACAATAACAAGAGGGCTATGATGGCCCTGAGGTCACTCACCTGTATATAGGACCCTGAGCAGGGCCAGTTTAAACCCCAGGACTTTTATTTAAACAAGATATGTTTGTAAAACATGTATGCCCCCTATCAGCAGCCAATTAGTCATGTGATCAGGTTATTATGCATGACTTCTGACCCAGTGATCAAACAATTAATAAGGGTTATAAAGTATCTACTGGTCATGACTTTGACCTTTGACCCCTTGACCCAAAACTCAATAGGGGTCACTGCTGGTCACGACCAATCATCAAACAAAGTTTGAAGTTCCTAGGCCTAGGCGTTTTTAGTAAATTGATCAGAAACCGTTTTTACCTACAAGGTCAATGGGACCTTGACCTTTGACCCCTTGACCCCAAAATCAATAGGGGTCATCTGCTGGTCATGACCAATCACCATGCCAAGTTTGAAGTTCTTAGGCCTAAGGGTTCTCTTATTATTGATCAGAAACCTTTAACATACAAGGTCAATGTGACCTTGACCTTTGACCCCAAAATCAATAGGTGTCATCTGCTGGTCATGACCAATCACCATGCCAAGTTTGAAGTTTCTAGGCCCAAGCGTTCTTTAGTTATTGATCAGAAACTGTTTTTACTTACAAGGTCATTGTGACCTTGACCTTTGACCCCTTGATCCCAAAATCAATAGGAGTAATCTGCTGGTCATGACAAATCACCATACCAAGTTTGAAGTTCCTAGGCCTAAGCGTTCTTGAATTATTGATCAGAAACAGTTTTTACTTAAAAGGTCAATGTGACCTTGACCTTTGACCCCTTCACCTAAAACTCAATAGGGGTCATCTGCTGGTCATGACCAATCATCACACAAAGTTTGAAAATCCTAGGCCTAAGCGTTTTTAGTTAATTGATCGGAAACCGTTTTTACCTACAAGGTCAATGTGACCTTGACCTTTGACCCCTTTACCCCAAAATCAATAGGTCATCTGCTGGTCATGACCAATCACCATACCAAGTTTGAAGTTCCTAGGCATAAGGGTTCTTAAGTTATTGATCGGAAAGCATTTTTATGTACAAGGTCAATGTGACCTTGCCCTTTAACCCCTTAACCCCAAAATCAATAGGGGTCATCTGCTGGTCATGACCAATCACCATACCAAGTTTGAAGTTCCTAGGCCTAATGGTTCTTTAGTTATTGATCGGAAACCGTTTTTACCTAAGAGGTCAATGTGACCTTGACCTTTGACCCCTAGACCCCAAAATCAATAGGGGTCATCTACTGATCATGACCAATCACCATCTCAAGTTTGAAGTCCCTAGGCCTAAGGGTTCTTTCATTATTGATCGGAAACCGTTTTTACCTTCAAGGTCAATGTGACCTTGACCTTTGACCCCTTAACGCCAAAATCAATAGGGGTCATCTGATTGGTCATAACCAATCACCATACCAAGTTTGAAGTTCCTAGGCCTAAGGGTTCTTTTGTTATTGATCAGAAACCGTTTTTAATTAAAAGGTCAATGTGACCTTGACCTTTGACTCATTGACCCCAAAATCTATACGGGTCATCTACTGATCATGACCAATCACCATACCAAGTTTGAAGTTCCTAGGCCTTAAGGTTCTTTAGTTATTGATCGGAAACCGTTTTTTACCTACAAGGTCAATGTGACCTTGACCTTTGACCCCTTGACCCCAAAATCAATAGGGGTCATCTACTGATCATGACCAATCACCATACCAAGTTTGAAGTTCCTAGGCCTAAGGGTTCTTTTGTTATTGATCAGAAACCGTTTTTAATTAAAAGGTCAATGTGACCTTGACCTTTGACCCCAAAATCTATATGGGTCATCTACTGATCATGACCAATCACCATACCAAGTTTGAAGTTCCTAGGCCTTAAGGTTCTTTAGTTATTGATCGGAAACCGTTTTTGCTTTTAAGGTCAATGTGACCTTGACCTTTGACCCCTTGACCCCAAAATCAATAGGGGTCATCAACTGGTCATGACTAATCACCATACCAAGTTTGAAGTTCCTAGGCCTTAAGGTTCTTTAGTTATTGATCAGAAACTGTTTTTGCTTTCAAGGTCAATGTGACCTTGACCTTTGACCCCTTGACTCCAAAATCAATAGGGGTCATCTACTGGTCATGACCAATCACCATACCAAGTTTGAAGTTCCTAGGCCTTAAGGTTCTTTAGTTATTGATCGGAAACCATTTTTGCTTTCAAGGTCAATGTGACCTTGACCTTTGACCCCTTGACCCCAAAATCAATAGGGGTCATCTACTGGTCATGACCAATCACCATACCAAGTTTGAAGTTCCTAGGCCTTAAGGTTCTTTAGTTATTGATCGGAAACCGTTTTTGCTTTCAAGGTCAATGTGACCTTGACCTTTGACCCCTTGACCCCAAAATCAATAGGGGTCATCTACTGGTCATGACCAATCACCATACCAAGTTTGAAGTTCCTAGGCCTAAGGGTTCTTTAGTTATCACTCGGAAACCATTTGGTCTACGGACCGACGGACCGACAAGTGCAAAGCAATATACCCCCTTTTTTTCAAAATGGGGGCATAACAAACTTGGAAGACACCAATAAGACGATGTTTCATGATGTAAAGTTTTTACTACACACATATAATGAAAAAAAATGATCTGCCCCTCCCCCATCCAGGCAGGGCCAATTTTAACCCAAGGGCTTTTATTTGAACAAACTTGGTAGACTACCCTAAGAAGATGTTTCATGCTACACATCTAAGCTGTAGCTCATTGGGTTTTTTTAAAAAAAGATTTTTTAAGTTTTTACTATACACATTTTCTTAAAAAATGACACCCCTTGGGCGGGGCCAGTTTTGACCCCAGGGCTTTTATTTGAACAAACTTTGTAGACACTTACTAGAACATGTTCATGTTTAATATCTAAACTCTAGCAATTTGGGTTTTTTAAAAGAAGATATTTGAAGTTTTTTCTTTCGGAATTTAAATTCTTTGAACCACCAAAGGAACATTCCTGTGAAGTTTGGATGAAATTGGCTTAGTAGTTTATTAGGAGATGTCGTGTAAAGTAAAAGTTTACGGACGGACGATGGACGAAAAGCAATCACAAAAGTTCACCCTGTCACTTTGTGACAGGTGATTGCTAAAAATGATTTGTTTGTTTGGTTTTAAAGCGCACCAACACAACTTAGGTCATTTGGTGCTGAAACAGGAAAGATGATTTTGGTGAACCTCATATGTTACAAACTTTAAGCAACACCAAGGGTAAAAACCCTCTCACCTGCATGAGCTTAGAGATGCATACACTCCATAAGTCAAACTCATTTAAATGGTGGCTGCCATTTTGATGCCCCAATCCTGAAAGGCAATCAGCCACAAGCAAGAATAGAAATGGACAGATGTTTATTTCAGTTTAAGAACACTATAGTAAATAACTGGTTTTTGATATCAAGAACACTGAATTTAGATGTACTGAGTATTGCATCTGAAAACCTGTGGGACTAGCCTAAGGTTGAGATTTTGGAAGTTTCAACAATTAAGAAGTTCAGAATTATCTTAAAAATTAGTTAAAGCACTTCCGTCATTACTACACTGATGATCTTACCTCATAATTGCACCAATGCACTTCACTCATAACAAGATATGTTTGTAAAACATGTATGCCCCCTATCAGCAGCCAATTAGTCATGTGATAAGGTTATTATGCATGACTTCTGACCCTGAATGATCAAACAATTAATAAGGGTTATCAAGTATCTATTGAACATGACCTTAACCTTTGATCCCTTGACCCAAAACTCAATAGGGGTCATCTGCTGGTCACGAACAATCATCATACAAAGTTTGAAGCTCCTAGGCCTAAGTGTTTTTAGTTAATTGATCAGAAACCGTTTTTACCTACAAGGTCAATGTGACCTTGACCTTTGACCCCTTGACCCCAAAATCAATAGGTCATCTGCTGGTCATGACCAATCACCATACCAAGTTTGATGTTCCTAGGCCTAAGGGTTCTTTAGTTATTGATCGGAAACCGTTTTAACATACAAAGTCAATGTGACCTTGACCTTTGATCCCAAAATCAATAGGGGGTCATCTGCTGCTTATGACCAATCACCATGCCAAGTTTGAAGTTCCTAGGCCGAAGCGTTCTTTTGTTATTTATCAGAAACCGTTTTACTCACAATGTCAATGTGACCTTGACCTTTGACCCCTTTATCCCAAAATCAATAGGGGTAATCTGCTGGTCATGACAAATCACCATACCAAGTTTAAAGTTCCTAGGCCTAAGCGTTCTTAAGTTATTGATCAGAAACCGTTTTTACTTACAAGGTCAATGTGACCTTGACCTTTGACCCCTTGACCCCAAAATCAATAGGGGTCATCTGCTGGTCATGACCAATCATCATACAAAGTTTGAAGTTCCTAGGCCTAAGCGTTTTTAGTTAATTGATCGGAAACCGTTTTTACCTACAAGGTCAATGTGACCTTGACCTTTGACCCCTTGACCCCAAAATCAATAGGGGTCATCTACTGATCATGACCAATCACCATATCAAGTTTGAAGTTCCTAGGCCTAAGGGTTCTTTCCTTATTGATCTGAAACTGTTTTACCTACAAGGTCAATGTGACCTTGACCTTTGATCCATTAACCCCAAAATCAATAGGGGTCATCTGCTGGTCATGACCAATCACCATACCAAGTTTGAAGTTTCTAGGCCTGAGGGTTCTTTTGTTATTGATCAGAAACCATTTTAACCCAAGAGGTCAATGTGACCTTGACCTTTGACCCCTTGACCCCAAAATCAATAGGGGTTATCTACTGATCATGACCAATCACCATACCAAGTTTGAAGTTCCTAGGCCTTAAAGTTCTTTAGTTATTGATTGGAAACCGTTTTTGCTTACAAGGTCAATGTCAACTTGACCTTTGACCCCTTGACCCCAAAATCAATAGGGGTCATCTACTGATCATGACCAATCACCATACCAAGTTTGAAGTTCCTAGGCCTTAAAGTTCTTTAGTTATTGATCGGAAACCGTTTTTGCTTTCAAGGTCAATGTGACCTGGACCTTTGACCCCTTGACCCCAAAATCAATAGGGGTCATCTACTGATCATGACCAATCACCATACCAAGTTTGAAGTTCCTAGGCCTTAAGGTTCTTTAGTTATTGATCGGAAACCGTTTTTGCTTACAAGGTCAATGTGACCTTGACCTTTGACCCCTTGACCCCAAAATCAATAGGGGTCATCTACTGGTCATGACCAATCACCTTACCAAGTTTGAAGTTCCAAAGCCTTAGGGTTCTTTAGTTATCACTCGGAAACCATTTGGTCTACGGACCGACGGACCGACAAGTGCAAAGCAATATACCCCCTTTTCTTCCAAATGGGGGCATAATAACTACAATGATATTACCTCACAATCAACTCAAAGATCTTACATCATAATTAGTTTAATTACTATGTCAAAATACTTTACTCATAACTACTCACACACGAAAATAATCTTAGTTCATAACTACATAAACACACTTCTTTCATCACTACATCTCCTAACTTCACCAAAGAACAAATCTCATTAATACACCTAAACATTTTCACCAAAGAAATTTCCTCATAACCACATTTAAGGAATTCTCATAACTACAACAAAGAACTTTCCTCAATACTACCAAACAAAAATCGCTCAAAAGTAAACAATAGCTCATAACTACCACAATGAACTAATCACAAGGAGACTAAATCACTTACATCAAACTGGGGAACTTCTGGCTCCTGGTATTCCTGCCATAATCGACGTGGTACTACAGTCACTGGTATATCATGTACAACAACTCGAGAATGGGAACCCAATGTAGGCTGAAATAATATACAACATTATACAAAATGCTACTAAAGCAGTTTATTTACTTTTTACTTTTAATTTACTTTTCAACCTTTTGCCCCTTTTCTTGTGTAATTGTATAAATGAATGAACCTCTTAACTTTTTAAAATGTCTTGTTATATATTCTAACTAAAAACTTAATTATTTTCAATTATCTACATACCAATGAAAATGCTAAATTTATCATGGTTTGTATTCTTGTATTGTATTATTTTTTCTTAAATAAACAGGCCTTAAACGTGGTTCCAAAAAAAAAAAAAAAAAAATAAGAGTTGATTATGTTAACATACTGGCCTCATTTGAGGTGTTGATGATGTGTTAATGTACAACAATTTTATAAAGACCCATTCATGTCAATTTCATTCAATGAGTTAAGTGTTTGAAATTATTTTTTGTCCAATAGGTGAAAATGATAATGATCATATGAGATCTGTGTAGCTGGGTGGGGGGGGGGACAAGTGTGGGGCGGGGGGACAATTCCTCAGTGCATAAAACAGTAAACTGCTGTGATATGGGTTGCGGAGTTGTCTCGCAAAAAAAAAAAGATAGTCTCTTGTAGTTCTGTTTAGAATGGCTTTCCATGTATTTCATGTTTGAATACAAAAAAAAAACCCTACAACTGTGTTTAATAGACTTACTCAGGAATTTAGAAATTTTTGAGTTTTTCCCAGCTAATACAAACTAATCGAAAGGTACAAACAAACTTTTACAGTAACAACTTTGAAAATAAGTGCAACTGGTTGTCTCATCTATTGTAATTGGTAGTGCACTATGAAGCTATTACAGTAAAAGTTTATTTGTCTTGGAAAATTCTACATTTCCTGAGTTCTGGATAACATCTATTCTTTACCAGCTTGACATATAAAGCAAATCCATAGTTAAAGCTTCAATAAAATTGTAAGCATAATTGCTTTTTTACTCGTATTTAAATGTCTCACCAAACTAAAATTAATAAGTACTGTAGTGTTTAAATACAATGCTTTTACAAGTAATCAGTTATCCATTAATACGTGTTTATATAAAAGCAATTAAAGTCATTCTGTAGACTATATCGAGGGCTTGGAGCGAAAGGGTTGTAACTCATATGAGATAAAGAAGGAGATACAACCCTTTCGCACCAAGCTGTCGATATGACAGTTAATCATTTTGCAGATTTTCTCTGCATTTTACAATTTGAGTCAATCAATTAAATATTCAAATTCATGCACCACACTTTTCAATAGGATAAAGAACTTTGTAAATATTCAAGACATTGACCTTTTCGAAAAACCTAGCTAAACCCCTTTTTCCGGTACATTACAAATTTAGCTGTGGGGAATTACGCATAATAAAGTACAGAACACTCTTTCATGATATTTCTGTTTTTTTTCTATCATTACTTTACCATTTTAGTTGGAAACACTTTATGTGTATTATCAATGTTCCTTAAATATCTATTGCAAATTTTTCAAAAAAATACTTTATGATGAAAAATCAATAAAATTAAAACAGACGTAGTGGCATCTTCCATTATAATTAACGTCATTTTCTGCGTAAACCTGTGTTATTACTCTTTTTTTTTGAATGGAATTATATATTCAATATTTAATTATTTTCTTACAAAAAAATAATGTTTTATTTCTTTTTAATTAAAAAAAAGGCCAAAAACATAGTGTTCTTTTTTACACTCCATTATGGGCATTCCACATAGTAGTGTACAGAATGCCCCATAGTTGTGTACAGAAAGTACCAGAAAACAGCATTTAGCTAGGTTTTCGAAATCATGAATTGACATTTATACCAAAGCTTAATTGTTTTCCACATGATAAAGGGGCATAACTACAGATATACTGATCACTAACCAATGTGCAGATTAACAAGTTAACCAAGAATAAGTAATAATATCTTTTATGCTTTTTGAAATTTTCTATCAATATTAAACTAATTATTACAAATGTTCAAAATGTGCATAATTTCTAAAAACGTTGATTTTAGACTTATTTTCCTAGTTTTACACATTGCTATGTGAAAAGCAAGTATTTCAATTTCCATGTTCATACTTCATAGGCAATATTGTTAAATACCAATGTAGAGACATATAGATAGCCCAAACAATATAGCTGCTAGAATTTTACAACTGCTCCTTGTCATGACTTTTAAGCACATATTCAAAATTTTGTGTTGGATCCTGTGGCGTTTTCCTGCATTTTTGGAGAAAGGCTTCTGGTTTCAATTGAGAAACAAATACAGATCATTATGAGAAAACAGGGAATCTTTTTAAAAGTTGAAAAACAAACATATACCTGACTTTCTGATTTATTTTTGTGTATAATCATAATAATAGGCGATCACTTTTTAAACAAGATGGCCATGATGGCCCTGAAGTCGCTAACCTGTATATAGGCCCCCAAAGCGGGAGCAGTTTAAACCCCAGGGCTTTTCTTTGAACAAACTTGGAATTCAGACACCCATTAGAAGATGTTTCATGATGTTAAGTTTTTGCTATACACATATAAGGAAAAACAACGACCTTCTTCCCCCCCCCCCCCCCCCCGGTAGAGTTAATTTTAACCCAATGGCTTTTATTTGAACAAACTTGGTAAATACCCATAAGAAGATGTTTCATGCTTAACATCTAAGCTCTAGCTCATTGGGTTTTTTAAAAGAAAATTTTTAAGTTTTTACTATACACTTAGGTTAAAAGCAATGACACCCCTGGGGAGGGGCCAGTTTTAACCCAAGGGCTTTTATTTGAACAAACTTTGTAGACACTTATTAAAATATGTTTCATGCTTAATATCTAACTGTAGCTATTTGGGTTTTGTCAAAGAAGATTTTTTAAGTTTTTGCTATACACATATAAGGAAATCAATGACCCCCTGGAAGGGGCCAATTTTGACCCCAGGGCTTTAATTTGAACAACTTTTGTAGACACTCACTAGAAGATGTTTCATGCTTAATATCTTAACTCTAGCTATTTGGGATTTTTTCTAAGAGGTTTTTTAAGATTTTGCTTTACACATATAAGGAAAACCAATTTTGACCCCAGGGCTTTTATTTGAACAAACTTAGTAGACACCCATTAGAACATGTTTCATGCTAAATATCTTAGCTATATCTCTTTGGGTTCTTTAAAAGAAATATTTTTAAGTTTTGATTATATATGCATATAGGGAAAATCAATGACCCCCTGGGGCTGGGCCAATTTTTACCCCAGGGCTTTTCTTTGAACAAACTTAGTAGACACTCACAAGAAGTTGTTTCATGCTAAATATCTTAGCTCTAGCTCTTTGGGTTCTTTAAAAGAAGAATTTTTTAAGTATTTACTATATGCATAAAGGGAAAATCAATGTCCTCCCGGGGTGGGGCCAATTTTGACCCCAGGGCTTTTATTTGAAGAAACTTTGTAGACACTCATTACAAGATGTTTCATGCCAAATATCTAAGCTCTAGCTCTTTGGCTTCTTTAAAAGAAGATATTTCAAGTTTTTTCTTTCGGTTGCCATGGCAATCAGAGTTCTGCATGGAATTAAATTTTTTTCTTTCGGTTGCCATGGCAACCAGAGTTTTGCATGGAATTAAATTCTTTGAACAATTTATAAAGGTGTCTAAAAAATTTGCGGTCATTTTGTTTAATTGGCAAGTGATTTTAATTGACTTGTCCAATTCACTAAGTAGGGCCAGGAAGGAATACAATTTCTCTACACAGTATGGCCATATCAAGAAGATGACATCCATAAAGTGACACACAAATATTAGTAAGGATGCAGATGGAAATATAAACACAAGCTAAAAACATTATTTACAAAAATAATAGACTCGCAAGTACCTTCACTACACATTATACCACTCTCAACACCAAAATAAAAAGTATTCTTTATAGTCAGGCAGTCCGATTAAGATATGTACATGTACCAATCCTGTACTATACTACTACTGACAATCCTACATGCAAAAGGTTACCCATCAAAACTTATAAAGCAAGCTATTTTAAAAGCAAGAAAACATAACCGTTAGAATTACTTAGCAATGAACATAGGTCTGTAAACAACAAACAAATTATACCTAGGTTATTTATTACAATCCTTCCTGCGTAATGTACCATTAATACCCATCTACAAATACTTATGAACAGAAAGTGCAACTCTAGCTTACTTTTATTTTGAATTCTTTCCATTTGTAATACTAGTAATTAATATTTGAGTACAATTCCTTAAATGTTAAGCACCACTAGAGTTATTGTTCCTGGACACTGCACTTCTTGTTATCAAACTTACCAGATCTACCTCCACCGTAAGACAAGGTGCATGCTTTTTAGTCAGCTTCACCTTTACCCACTTGGCCATCTGTGCTGTCTTCAGGGCTTTAACCAAGTTTTCTGGGGACATCTCTAGATAAATTTCATTGGCCTCCGCTGAAACACCTTCCATTGCATATTCATCAAAAAAGTGACCCTAAAATAATGTATACAAAACAAATAATTCATCAAGAAAAAGAATCTTTAAAGCTACTACCCCACATATTGTAGTTTGGGCATTTTTGAAATACAATATCATCAAAAGATTAAGTTTCACAACACATTGGTACATTTATATATATAGAACTAGATAATTAATACATTATTAATACTGATAGATGACGCAGACAAGCTGTTTGAGACCATTTTTTGCATTTGACCTTAAAGTAAAACCTTGACAGTTGACCTAGAAACACAGTTCTTATGCATGACACACAGTCTCATTATCATGAACATTTGTGCATATGAAATTCTGTCAACTAATGACAAAGTTACGATCCGGAAAGGCATAAACCGGACACACATATGAATATACATACACCAAACTGCTATTGTGACAACTATGTCAAGCTCTCAGTAAGGGGGCTCAAAAAAAAAAAGATCTATGTTGTCATGTGATTCCATTCATGTCTTGTTTTTAAGTTAAGTATCAACATTTAAACTACCTGAGGAAGTTCACACCAGATCTGTATACCTCCATTCACAACCTTCTCTGACAAGATGAAATACAATGCTGATGTGGTCACTCTCAAAACACATGTTTTAATCAACTTTGAAACAGTTGTTACAACACCTGAAAAACATAAGAAGTTTATATACTACTCACATTTACTATGCCGCTCTGTGTTCCTTGTTTTTACATTATAATGAAAAGCAAGGTCAGGGCTTAAGTGTGAACAAGGGGCTATTGGCCCCAAAGTGCTCATCTGAGAACAGAATGTCAATGACCTTGACCTACTGACCTCAATACCAATAGGGGTCATATTTAGAATTTATTAATTACTTTTAATACTAGGGAGATTATTATTTATTTTATTTTTTTATTTGACTGAGGGTACAAAGCTTAAGGACTTATGATTTTGAAGAAAATGATAATTTGAATGAATTCTACAGAATCTGCCTAAACTCAAATACTTTAAATGGTATCAGCTCAAGAAAGGTGACTGTTTTTTTCTTTTTAAACAGTTATTGAAATTCATGTTATAAGGGGTATTCTATTTGATGCAATGTTGAGATATGATGAATTAATTAGAAATTTACTCTGCTAATTATTCAATGGTTGAAATAATAACTAACTTTAAATCAATATTAGTTTATTTTCTATGCATTTGTCTGTTAAAAAGCAATTATTTATCATCTCTGTCCATCTTCTTAAGGAAAAGATCATACTTTGATTTAATAACTTATTGCTAAATAAATAATCAATGAGTAACTTGTAATAGAACATTTCAGGAGCCATCAAAGTCAATACAACATGTAAATACATGACATGACAACAGTGCTACAGAGTTTAAATGTGTTCGTATTTAGGTTATGTCTTTATTATGATCAAAAATGGTTGTTTCGGGATACTGTTAAAAAGTTGTTGATAAAAGTTTTTCATTTATTGTTTTGTGTATTGCTTTTTTATCATTCAAATTAGATTTTTTTTAAATAGTTGTTGATAATAAATGTCTGTTTGTGTACTTCGTTTTGTTTAATTATAGTTTAAGTTTTGTTATGTTCTTTTTACTTTACTACTTTTGCCTCATTCCATTACACAAATCGTAATAAGATCAATCTATCAACTCTTTCATTCATTTATTCATCAATATACTGAAATGCGATAAAAATTCTGTAATAAAACGTATAAAAACTTATTCTGAACTAATAATGGGATCGATTTGCCAAAAGGCCAATATGTTCGGGGCCGAAATGGCTCATAGTGCACGTGGTAATGTAACGATTCGCCACACTAACGATTCGCCACATAACGATTCGACACAGAGTAATAACGATTCGCCACAGTTAAATAACGATTCGCCACGTGTTCAAATACAAACTTTTTCACACCTGTTTTCAAATTGTTGATGGAAACTTTTTTCCATTTTACATTTCATTTGTTAATTACATAAATTAATTACACTGAATAAAGCTTTTATTGAATAAAAAACACACGAAAACCAAATATTTTATTAACAAAATTACATAACACATTTTATAACTTCGTTATTGATATAAACTTGAAAAATATACTAACAACTTTTATAGAATAAAAACACATGAAATAAATATTTTATTAACAAAATTACATAACACATTTTATAACTTCGTTATTTATATAAACTGGAAAAATATAATAACAAACATTTATAGAATAAAAACACATGAAAATAAATATTTTATTACCAAAATTACATCACACATTGTAGATGAGAAAAACTTCGTTATTTATATAAACTGGAAAATTATACGAAAACAGCTTTTATTGAATAAAGACACATGAATATTTTATTACCAAAATTACATTACACATTGTAGATCTATAAGTTAAACTTCGTTATTTATATAAACTGGAAAATTAAAAGAAAACAGCTTTAATTGAATAAATGAAAATAAATATATTTTATTACCAAAATTACATTACTGTACACATTTTAGATAAGTTATTTATATAACTAACATATTTTATTACAAAATTTACATACATAAGCTTAATTGCCGCATTGTTTTGAAATCTGCTCACATTGTCAGATAATTAAAGGATTATTTCGGCGTCAATTAAATATTTATACAATTTAAGGTGATTGGCTTGTTAAAATAAAAGGTGTGACAAATGTTTTAGATATGCGTTCTTTAATCAATTATCGTAAATCAATTTTCGTAATGATCACATGTTTTTGCAATATTTTTTTTATTATTTGACATATATATAATATATGAAGTATATATTTATTTCTATGAATGATAATGATATTGTGATGTTCCTTTATTTGCAGCTGTCTGTTCTCCGTAAGAATGTCATCAGTTAAAACTTTTTATGTTCTTCTTATTATTTTTTTCTTTGCTTTGGTCATGTGACCACAGAATTATTATATTTGTAATTATTGTATGTAACGAGATATACAGTAAATGTATAAGTTACCGAAATAAACTATTTCTTCTCTTCTTCTTATATTAATTGACATTTATGTTTATGATTAATCAACATATATAATTACTTTCTTGTAAATGTACTCCTTCAGGTAACAATGTTACTTTGATAAATTGAAAATCCGCGATGGGGGCTTTAAGTTCATGTTACTTGTATTAAGAAACATTATTAAATTATTGTCATTGTCAAATTATTAAAACGAAAGGAAAAAGTTTGTTGATAACTAAAAAAATCATTGTTAGATCTATAATCATACTGTGGCGAATCGTTATTTAACTGTGGCGAATCGTTATTACTCTGTGGCGAATCGTTATGTGGCGAATCGTTAGTGTGGCGAATCGTTACTAATTCGTGCACGTATCGCGAAAACCTATATCAACACAAGTTTCAAAGCAAACTGCTTGAATTAGTCGCCTGTATGCACTTATAAAACATATCTTTTGGTTTCTTTTAATTGAAACTTACGGGTGAAATGTTGTATACATCCAATATCAACTAATTTTCCCCTGAATCTCATTGCATTACGAAATTAAAAAGCCCGCAAGAAATTCGCAGGTCTCCTATCGGTAATTCCCGGTCTCTCCCGGTCTATTTTGACCGGGATCGGCGAAAAGTCGCTTGAAAACGTTTATTGCCCGGTCTCGTAACAAATATCGTTTGTATTATTATATCGTATATATATCGTAACAAATAAATAAGATTTTTTTCCAAAAATTGAATGTTTGTCTCTTAGTTTGGTTACAATAATCAATTAAAACAGATCATCTCTCAAATTTATTTATTTATTTATTTATTTATTTAAATATTTATTAATTTATTTATTTATTTAATTTATTTATTTATTTAAATATTTAATTAATTAATAAATTAATTAATTAATTAATTAATTAATTAATTTATTTATTTATTTATTTATTTATTTATTTATTTATTTATTTATTTATTTATTAATTAATTTATTTATTTATTTATTTATTTATTTATTTATTTATTTATTTATTTATTTATTTATTTATTTATTTATTATACATATGTCGCGGGTGAATGATAACGCAACAAAAGATACGATCCTGTAATTACATAAACATGCAAAATAATATGGTACATATACAAAAGTCATTATTTAATTAAATACACAATATTACAATTACTAACATACATGATTCATTAGAGTATATATTAATAAATACAAAATACATTTATACCTGTAATTATATAATTAAATAAATACAGAAATGGTAAATATTATATAGCACAAAAATGACTTTGTTATTGTTTTGACTTTTTGAATAATGGCGGAGAAAGGCGGAAGGAGTTACGATTGGTTCTTGACCCGTGCAAAAGTAAATCGAATTCAACGAAAAGGAGTTTTTAATACAAACAACTGCATATGACACCCTGTAAGAGTACCATGTAAAACTGATATAATTTGCTCTGTGTTTGTATGTGTGTATATTTATAATGATATAATCTAGGATAGTTTATTGGAAGTATAGGTTAAGTATAGGCCAGGGCAATGTAATAAACAAATATATATACCCTATGACACATAAACATACAATTCTAAAAATAATAATAGCATGTTTAATTGTATTTCTGTCAGATAAAAACATTTCATTTCATTTCATTAATTGGCAAATCGGCATTATAAATGCCTTTGACCATTTACAACATACTAAATATGGTCAAGACATACAGTATACATAATTGTTACACAAATAACTACACTTTTAATCTTTAAATAATAAATAATCAGCAAAAACCAAACATAAAGAAAATTTAAAGTCACAAATGAAATAAATACTACGAAGCAGCATTATTTTCAACAGAGACGCTATGTCTCTGTTTTCAAGGGTTAAATTCTTCAATTTATATGCTTCCGTTAAAAACTTTGCATATTTTACAATAACAGTTCTACGATTTGATGGAACTTTTGGTCTGAAGGCCATGCATTATTTGCAAAATGTTTCTATCGTAAATCATAATATTTTTTACACCATAATAAAAAAGGGTACTCAGATTCAACTGATCGTGATGAACAAAGTTTATATATACGATTTTGTCTTTCAATGCCAGTATATCTACCCACTTTAATTTCGAGATTATGTGCTGATATTCTAAATTTAGTATATAGCTCTCTTTGTTTACAATTAGTAAATATGTCTTAATATTTTTCATAACAAAAGTCAACTTTACATTGTTTATAGTTTTCAAGTTTAGTTACATTATGAGTCTCCATTTTCCAGTTTTGGATATACTGATCTCGTAATCTTTGTTTCAAAATAAAAAATAGTTACAGGAAGAGTCAAAATTTAACCCTATATCATTGAAACCAAGACTATCAAGTAACGCTTTAATTTTATTTGACCAAGAATTTACGTTCTGGGAAATACATTGATCTATAAAAAAAATTAATACATAGGCATGTGTTGATTACTCATTATTTTTATTCAGTATTTTAAGGCTGTCTCTTTCATTAAAACTGACAAAAGGAAACGACCCAATTCACATAATACCGCTAAAGTTGAAGATTATGCTCGGACCCCAAGAATATGTTTACAAAATTTTATATGTAGTTTATCTATTTCCTTAAATTTATAAATGCCCCAAATCTCCAAGGCGCACAATAAAAATAGGTAAAACCATAGAGTCAAAAAGTGAAAGTTTAGTTTTAATATCAAGATTTACTCTAGTAAATAATGACAAGTGGCTATTATATGCTTTGAGAGAATGGTCAGAGAGCACATTATCAGCATTTTCATATTCCCAGTGTAAATAAAGTTTACACCTAAATAACAAAAATTATCTACAATCTCTAATTTCTCACCATAGGGTTAGGGTTAGTAACCATTCAAAAGAATTACATGTAGATTGTTTTCTCTTTTCAAAAATACAAACTTTTGACTTTTTCGTGTTTATTTGTAGGCCCCATTTAATCGAGTATTGATAAATACAATCAAGTTGGACGTGTAAGCTGTATTCATTTGCAGTAAAAAACAATGTCATCAGCAAAAACCAACATACATATACATTGATAACTGGTTCAAATCACCCTCAGATAAATTATTTAAGTCTTAAAAATTATAAATATCATTGAGGAACAAAATAAAAAGTAAAGGTGAGAGTGGTTCCCCTTGTTTTAAACCAACACTAACATCAATAAATCTGACATATTCATGTTCGAAGACAATTCAACGCATGCTTTAACATTTGCATAAATATATTTCAACATTGTAATGATTTTGCAGCTAATATTTAATCCACAAAGCTTCACTACAAATTACTTGATAAATATTTCAGATCAAGTTAGTTTGTAAAATTGGTTAGGTATACAATATATATTAAATAGATTGTCAAAAATTCTGTTTTAACTAACATGTAATGGTGGTCGCTATACGTTTCCGTAATTTAGTTATTTAGTTATTTCATCATTTTTCATCTTATATTACAAGTGTGATAATATTTTTTCTCGATTTGATCTTAATAGACCGACAGATAACTTTATTTCACTTCGGTATATCAAAGTATACAACATAAAAAATGACATTACAAAGATACTATTTAGTTAAATACTTTTATGTGAAAATCTTATCTTTTAGATATTGTCATACATTTAACACGAAAATTAATATATCATATATCAACAATTTTTCACCATTTTTACAAATAATTATAAGAAGACCGGCACTGACAATGTCAGCAAATATGATACTACATATTCTTCGGTCTGTAGTAAATCCCAATAAAAATAGACCGGGAAAGACCGGAGACTGGAAGCGACCGGACCGGAGAATAGTATAATGTCAATCGCACTGTGCATAGTTACCTCCCTTATTTTCATATGTTTAACAACACCATTTGCTGTGTGGTAAACGGTAAAAGGGACCGAGTAAGAGTACACTTTGCATATTTAGCCCCGCCTATAAATTAAGCACGAATTTCTTATAAAGCGTTATCATCATGATTAAAATAGACTTAATCTATGGAAATCATCAGCGTCACTGTGAAATAATGCATATGCTTAATCCTCCTAATAAATTTATGCATATGTCTAGAAAATGGAAACAGGCTTTAAACTTCAGGACATACAACTGTAGAATAATGGTTTTTCATTCATATGCCTAATAATTTAATCAGCAGATGAACCTATGTTAGGATATCAAGTAAGATTATTATAGGATCATCTGAATGCACTTGTACACAATGTACACTTATGTTCATTAAAGCTATATGAGTAATCACATTATAAGAGGACCAAGAGATCATCTGCATGAACATATACTAGTTTTTATAGAAGATGCATGAGAGCTAGGTTAATGTAAGATGAGCAGGGAATCATCTAGATGTAAATATACATTAGTAGTGATGGAATATATATGAAGAAGGGTCATCTGGTCTTTAAGGTGTATAAACACTGTAGTTCTTAAAGAACATATGTGAGGGAAATACATATAAACATTTTTATTATGGAACAGATATAAGGGTAACTCGTAAGATGCCCAGGGGATTATCTAGATGTACATATACTATACTTTTCATGGAACAGAAATAAGGGGATCACGTAAGATTACAAGATCATCTGGATGTACATAAACTTTTTTTCATTACATATGTAAGGGGATCAAATAAAATGACCAAGGGATCATCTAGATGTACATATACTATAGTATTCATTGAACAGAAATAAGGGGATCACGTAAGATGACAATGGTATCATCTAGATGTACATATACTATAGTATTCATTGAACAGAAATAAGGGGATCACGTAAGGTGACAAGGGGATCATCTAGATGTACATATACTATAGTATTCATTGAACAGAAATAAGGGGATCACGTAAGATGACAATGGTATCATCTAGATGTACATATACTATAGTATTCATTGAACAGAAATAAGGGGATCACGTAAGGTGACAAGGGGATCATCTAGATGTACATATACTATAGTATTCATTGAACAGAAATAAGGGGATCACGTAAGGTGACAAAGGGATCATCTAGATGTACATATACTATAGTATTCATTGAACAGAAATAAGGGGATCACATAAGATGACAATAGCATCATCTAGATGTACATATACAATAGTATTCATTGAACAGAAATAAGGGGATCACGTAAGGTGACAAGGGGATCATCTAGATGTACATATACTATAGTATTCATTGAAAAGAAATAAGGGGATCACGTATGATGACCAGCGGATCATAAAGATGAACACATACTTTAGTTTTCATTAAAGAGAAATAAATAAGGGGATCAGGTAAGACGGCCAGGAGATCATATAGATGTACATACTCTTTTTCATTATGGAACATATATGAGGGGATCGCGTAAAATGACAAGGGGATCATGTAGATGTACATATACTATAGACTTCATTGAACAGAAATAAAGGGATCACGTAAGATGACAATGGTATCATCTAGATGTACATATACATCTAGACGATCCCCTGGTCATCTTACGTGATCCCCTTAATTATTTCTGTTCAATAAAAACTATAGCATATGTAAAATTAGATGAACCCCTGGTCATCTTACATGATCCACTTATATCTGTTCAATGCAAAATATAGTATATGTACATCTAGATGGCCCACTGGTCATCTTACGTGATCCCCTTATATCTGTTCAATGAAAAGTACGGTATATGTACATTAAGATGATTCCCCGGTCAACTTACGTTATCATCTGATATCTGTTCAATGAAAACTATAGTATATGTAAATCTAGATGACCCACTTGTCATATTACGTTATCTCCTTATATCTGTTCAATGAATACTAAAGTATGTGTACATATAGATGATCCCCTGGTCATCTTACGTGATCCCCTGATATCTGTTCAATGAATCTTATACTGTATGCACATCTAGACGATCCCCTGGTCATCTTACGTGATCCCCTTATTTCTGATCAATAAAAACTATAGCATATTTAAAATTAGATGATCCCCTGGTCATCTTACGTTATCCCCTTATATCCCTTTCCATAATAAGAAAGAGGACGTTGTATATCTAGATGATCGCCTGGTCACCTACGTGATCCAAATGATATCAGTTCAATGAAAATTATTTTATGTGTACAAGTAGATGATCCCCTGGTCATCAAGTACGTGACCCGCTGATATCTGTTCAATGAAAAGTATAGTATATGTACATGGTCATCTTACGTGATCGCGTTGTATCTGTTCAATGAAAACTATATAGTATAAACTTGGTCCTCTTAAAATGTGATTCCTAATATATTTTTCATATGAACAAAAGTATACATTGTATGTATATTCAGATGATCCTTTTGTCATCTAACTTGATATCCTCACATAGGTTCATATGCTGATTAAATCATTTGGCATATGAATGAAAGCACCGTTATTGCACGACTTAACACTTTAAAGCCTTTTTCCATTTTTATAAGACATTCGTGTATATTCATTTGGGGGATTAAGCATATGCACTAACATACAGTGACACTGATCATTTCCACAGATTTATAGTCTAATTTAATCATGATGATAACGCTTTATAAGAAATTCGTGCTTTATTTATAGGCGGGGCTAAATATGCAAAGTGTACGCTTACTCGATCCCTTTTTCCGTTTACCACATAGTCAGGCTTGAACAGTTTAGCAGTTTCATGATAAGTAAGTGTGAATTATTGATTAACAATTAAAAAAAATGATTTGATATATAAATTGTATTATGTTGTATCTTGTCAACCGTCTTTCTGGCTGGATTGGTAATTGTAAGTTTCTAGTTGTTTTTGCTATATTCAGATAATGCTGATAATTGGTTATAAAATTTTAATTAATGAATGAATTGGCTTCATACTTGAGCACAATGTCAATCCTTGTGACAAGACTTTAAAGATTTTTTTCCTTGCCTTTTATTATTCTCTTTTTGAGAGCGTTAAGGTAAAATTATTAATTTTACAAAAAGGCCAAAGTATCCAAATTAAGGGGCGTGAAGGTTTGCCCCTTTTTAAAAATTTTTTTTTTTACGTAAAACCCTTTGGAAAAAGACACGCTCGTCCAAAAATTATCTCGGTGTCTTTTGAAAAGTCTATTATTTGGGACCAATTGGGCCTACTTTTTTGGGGGACCCTTTCCCTATTTGCCGAACAATCATTTTTCATTTTTTTCCTTTTTTGGTTTTTTTATTTTAAATTTTTTTATTTCCCCTTAAAAAGAACACAGATGGCAAAACTGACTGTTTTGTTTTAGTCCCTAAAAGTTTACGGAGGGGGGTCCCCCACGGTTTACAGAAGGGGGAATTTTTGGTTAACGTTCTGTCCGTCAGTCTCTATGTCCGATCTTACAGGACAGTAATAATGGGGCTAGAGGGACAATAGGTAACTCAGTTTAACTCTGTTCTTTCTCTTTGATGTCATTCATTCCGTAATGCTTTTATGTGGCTATTTTCTTTTGAGTGGCTAAAAGAACAATAGAGAACCACATTATAACTGTCCCGTAAGAACTTCCATCTGTCAATCCACCAGTCCGTCTGTCTACAAAACTGGATCCCTGGATAACGCAAAATGTACTGAAAATATTTTTATGAAACTTGATATAAGGATAGATGGCAGTATGGAGATTATGCACGTCTTTTTCTTTTCTTCCTATGTTGAAAATTCTGGTTGCTATGGCCAAAAATAGACTGAAAATATGGCAAATTTTACACATAAACTGGATCCAGCGATAATGAAAAAGTACTGGAAATATTTTTACGAAACTTGAAATATGGGTAGATGGCAGTCTGGAGATTATGCATGTCTTTATATTTTCTTCCTATGTTGAAAAATTTGGTTGCCATGGCAACAAATAGGCTTAAAACATGACAAATATAACAATAATTGTGATTCGTCAAAAAGGGCTGGAAAATTTTATAAAACTTAAAATATGGATAGATGGCAGTATGGAAATTAAACACATCATTTTAATCTTGACTATAGGGTGTATATTGAGAGCCGTCATACTTAACAAACGTTGGCAACCTTGTCAAGATTTCTGATTCTAGTTTTTAGGCCTTTTCATTATAAGTTCTTTATATTTCAAACTTCAAATATAAGTTTTTGGTCATCAACCACATCATATGTGACAAGGTTTACAACTCTAGCACAAAAATTATCAGAATTGCCTCCCTTGAAAATAGAATTTTCATGAACAATTTTCAGAGCAAATGACAGTAGTACTAGGATTTCATGATCAGTCACAATGAAAGTGACCTGTGCAATCCAGGAATCTAAGCCATGTTGCCCAATTCACAGGACAGTACTGTAGCTATTGAGCTAACCAGATGGCTTAGGTTGTCATAACATTGCTATTTCTTTACTGATTTAATTTATTTTTAGACAAAAGAAACATTATGACAACAAGAGCACCGCTAGGCGGAGCATTATATGCCCGAAAGTGTTGTTTTTTTTTTAGTAAAGATGAAGCATTTGTAAGACATGGGACTAAAATAAAGTATTACCTCCTTCAAATAACAATCCTCCTTTGAAGTTTCAATATTGTGGTCCAAATGGAACTTTAAGTTAATGCCCCAGAAACTGTTTTCAATTCTAAGGTAAAAGTGACCTTGACCTTTGACCTTGTGAACCCCAAAATCATTAGGGTCTTTACCAATATGGACAATCATACTATGAAGTTTAAACACAGTAGGCCAAATGATACTTAAGTTATATTCCGAAAAACTGTTTTCAGTTTTAAGTAATAGTGACCTTGACCTTGTGACCCCAAAATCAATAGGGGTCTTCTACCCAATATGGACAATCATCCTATAAAGTTTGAATATTGTGGCTAAATGGAACTAAAGTCATGCTCAAGAAACTGTTTTCAATTTCTAAGTAATAGTGACCTTGACCTTTGACCTTGTGACCCCAAAATCAATAGGGGTCTTCTACCCAATATGGACAATCATCCTATGAAGTTAGAACACTGTGGGCCAAATGGAACTTAAGTTATTGCTGCTCCGGAAACTGTTTTTCAGTTTAAGGTCATAGTGACCTTGACCTTTGACCTTGTGACCCCAAATCAATAGGGGTCTTTTACCCAATATGGACAATCATCCTATGAAGTTTGAACACTGTAGGGCCAAATGGAACTTAAGTTTATGCTCCGGAAACTGTTTTCTGTTTAAAGGTCATAGCGACCTTGACCTTTGACCTTATGACCCCAAAATCATTAGGGGTCTTCTACCCAATATGGACAATCATCCTATGAAGTTTGAACACTGTGGGCCAAATGGAACTTAAGTTATGCTCCGGAAACTGTTTTCAGTTTTAAGGTCATAGTGACCTTGACCTTTGACCCCAAATCTATAGGGTCTTCTACCAAATATGGACAATCATCCTATGAAGTTTGAACACTGTAGGACAAATGGAACTTAAGTTTATGCTCCGGAAACTGTTTTCAGTTTAATGTCATAGTGACCTTGACCTTTGACCCCAAAAATCAATAGGGGTCTTCTACCCAATATGGACAATCATCCTATGAAGTTTGAACACTGTGGGCCAAATGGAACTTAAGTTATGCTCCGGAAACTGTTTTCAGTTTTAAGGTCATAGTGACCTTGACCTTTGACCTTGTGACCCCCAAAATCAATAGGGGTCTTTACCCAATATGGACAATCATCCTATGAAGGTTGAACACTGTAGGCAAATGGAACTTAAGTTATGCTCCGGAAACTGTTTTTCAGTTTTAAGGTCATAGTGACCTTGACCTTTGACCTTATGACCCCAAAATCAATAGGGGTCTTCTAACCCAATATGGACAATCATCCTATGAAGTTTTAATATGTGGGCCAAATGGAACTTAAGTTATGCTCCGGAAACCAAATTGCTAACGTTTTCAGTTTTAAGGTCATAGTGACCTTGACCTTTGACCTTATGACCCCAAAATCAATAGGGGTCTTCTACCCAATATGGACAATCATCCTATGAAGTTTGAATATTGTGGGCCAAATGGAACTTAAGTTATGCTCCGGAAACCAAATTGCTAACAGACGGACGGACGGACGGACAGACGGACGGACGGACGGACGGACGCCAGGGGGTATAACATAATATGTCCGAAATTCTTTCGGGCATATAAAAACCATATATATGTTAAATAATATGACATAATTGAATGCTGTCTTTCCTTGTTGATACTTGTTCTCAAGTTGTATTGTTTGTTGTTTTGTATTGTATTTTATAATTTTATATGTTTTATATTTCAGAAACTTGGTTAAATAAGGATGACGTTTGCTTGTCCATTGTGTGACAAGATTTTAACCAAAAAATATAGTTTAACTGTACACTTGAGATTCCACAAGCATGAGAGAAATTTCCACTGCAATGAATGCAAGAAATCTTTTACAACAGCAAGAATTCTAAATAAGCATAAACTTACACATGACAAAGTGTCAGAAGCCAAACTTTGCCAGATCTGTAACAAAGGGTTCAGATACAAGAGTGGTTTAGAGAGACATATGTTAATACATACAGGAGACAGATTGTTTACTTGCAAACTATGTGGAAAAAGTTTTATGTTAAGAGAGCATTTGCTTAGACATATGAAACTTCATGCTGTAGATGAAAAATTTGAATGTGGGATATGTCAATCAAAATTTTCCAAGAATATTCTCCTTACAAGGCATATCTTAATTCACACAGGAGAGAAGTCACTTAAGTGTGTGACATGTGGGATGCATTTGATAGATACAAAGAACTTTACACAAGATACTGAAAACCTTAATAATAATGACAACAAGGAGGAAATTGTGTTTAATTGTACAGCCTGTGAGGAGAAACTGAGTACCATGATTCCTGTTGAAAATCATAGGAAACTGCAGTCAAATGTTAGCTATCTGGTGTGTCATGTGTGTAAGAAAACATTCAAAAGGAAAGGTGGTCTTAAACAACATATGAAAATTCATAATGATGCAATATTCTATCCATGTAATGTATGTGACAAGAAATTTAAGAATACAAGTTGTCGCAAAAGACATATGAGAATTCATACGGGAGAAAGACCATTTTCTTGTAAAAATTGTTCAAAACGCTTTTCTGATAGTGGCAATCTTTCTAGACACTTGAAATTACATTTGTGAACCTGTTCTTGTCTTCATAAATTTAATAAGTATTTGAAGAACTTGAAAAGAGCAATTTGAAAGCTACTGGTACATCGATTCATACATGTACGATTAGAAATAAAGTATTTTCTCAAGGTTGAATCAATGTATTATGAAAATTTATTTTTTACATGAAAAAATTGTTTTGTAGGAGAACATTTTACTAAAATATTCTTCCTTGGATGTGTTTGACTTTAGAAAAATGAAAAAATTGAGCATGGCCCCGCTAATCGTTGGCTCTTTTGTTTAACTTGTGATTAGCATGACTCAGATGTCACAATTGGGGTACTTTCATACTCATACCTCTGATTGTTACATTAAATGTGATTGCTTCTACATTGGCTGTAGTATTAATAAGATTATAATGAATGTGCTAACAATGCATATTATTTGATGCTTCAAATGTTTAATGTGCATTAGGTTGCATGATAAAAGTCATGATTTTGATATAAAGTTCAGTAAAAATCACATAATTTATATAAAAATATTTTGAAAGAAAACAATCTAGAAGTGAACCAGGTTTTGATTTATTTCCATGGTAATGGAACCATTCATATAATAGTAATTAAGACATGATTTGTTTTACTTATTTTTAAGATATGAACTACATTTAATTAGATATTCTATGGATAAAGAAATAAAAATGCATGCATTTCTTTGCATCAAGAAGATATTTTATAATGATAATAAAGTATTTTATCAGGTCATTAACTTTTGTTTTGAAATATGTTTACTTAAGCCATATGGCCTACTTCATACTGATGCTCAACAGTGTAAGGGGATTAAATATTATCAATACTGAATAGATGTACATGCATTTATCTTTGGTTTGCAAAGTCTGTTATAAGCAACAACACAAGTTGTGGTTTTTAGCTCACCTGAGTTAGCTCATTGTGAGATTTTAGGATTGTTGAATGTCCATTGTCTGTCTTCCATCCACATTTAGTTCATTAACACTCTAGTGGTCACATGTTTGCCTCATTTGCCACCAAACTTGGTCAGGATGTTTGTCCCAGTCATTGTTCAGACAATTCAAATATGGGTCATCTGGAATAAAAAAACTAGGTCACAGAAGCCAAAACTAGAAAAATCTTGTTAATACTCTAGTGGCTACTGTTTGGGTCCAAATATCTTGGAAATTGCTCAGAATGTTTGTTTAATGATTTCTAGGCTCAAGTTTGAATATAGTCATCTGGGATCAAAAACTAGATCACACAGCCCAAATATAGAAAAACCATGTTAACACTCTAGAGGCTACTGTTTTTGTTCAAATATTGTGGAAATTGATCAGAAAGGTTGTTTGATTATTTCTAGCTCAAGTTTGAATATGGGTCATCTGGGGTTACACAGCCCAGATGGGAAAAGCCTTGTTAACACTCTGGAGGTGATAGTTTTGTTCTTAATATAATCATGTAGGGAACGTGTTACAGTATGCGCTTTCCGGATCAAGTTCAATTCCTTACAAGCAAAGCACAAAAACATTTTTAAGGAACTAAACTATTGTATTGACCAAAAATATTACCTACCTGTCTACCCGAAAGTAATCCTACATCTTAAATTTTTTATACTGTAACCGAAAGCAAGACCGTTTTCTACGGTGATAATTGCATTTGTTTCTATGATTTCTAGGTCAAGTTCGTTGAATATATAGGTCATCTGGGTCACATATCCCAAATTATGGAAAAACCTAGAGGCAATATTTTCAGTTGAATTTCCAGGAATTTGGTCTGCAAGGTTGTTCTGTTGATTTCTAGCTTAACTTTGAATATAGGCCCGGTCATCTGCGGTCCAAAACTAGGTCGTAAAGGTAGGGTATAGTAAAGCCATGATAACACTATAAATATAATAGTTATAGCCCAAATATCCTTTATTCTTAGCAGTGATTTGTTGAAATTTGTGAGTGGGTGGAACATAGTGCAGTTAATCAAATAAAAATGAAAATAACTTTTTTTCTGTTTAAGGGGACAACATGATTTCATTTTCTGAGAATATTTAGAGCATTATTTTGCAAGAGGAAACAGCATATAGAAGACTGTAATATATGCAGGAAAGGAAGAAGATCAATGTGGCGATACCACGTGACTTTTAGGAGATGGAACTCGCGCGTTTTTGTCCGATTCAGATATGTTTATCATAGCTTTACTATTGTATATTGCCAATGTACCAAACTAATGAATTGCTGTTTGACATACAGAGTTCATAAATGGTGTAAAACATGCTAGCTTGTACACAACGATTATTGTTCATATGCCCGAAAGAATTTCGGGCATATTATGTTATACCCCCTGGCGTCCGTCCGTCTGTCCGTCTGTTAGCAATTTGGTTTCCGGAGCATAACTTAAGTTCTATTTGGCCAACAGTGTTCAAACTTCATAGGATGATTGTCCATATTGGGTAGAAGACCTCTATTGATTTTGGGGTCACAAGGTCAAAGGTCAAATTCACTATGACCTTAAAACTGAAAACAGTTTCCGGAGCATAACTTATGTTCCATTTGGCCCACAGTGTTCAAACTTCATAGGATGATTGTCCATATTGGGTAGAAGACCCCTATTGATTTTGGGGGTCACAAGGTCAAGGTCACTATGACCTTAAAAACTGAAAACAAGTTTCCGGAGCATGACTTAAGTTCCATTTGGCCCACAGTGTTCAAACTTCATAGGCTGATTGTCCATATTGGGTAGAAGACCCCTAATGATTTTGGGGTCACAAGGTCAAAGGTCAAGGTCACTATTACCTTAAAACTGAAAACAGTTTCCGGAGCATAACTTAAGTTCCATTTGGCCCACAGTGTTCAAACTTCATAGGATGATTGTCCATATTGGGTTAAAGACCCCTATTGATTTTGTGGTCACAAGGTCAAAGGTCAAGGTCACTATTATTAGAAATTGAAAACAGTTTCTTTAGCATAATTAAGTTCAATTTGGCCCATAATATTCAAACTTCATAGGATGATGTCCATATTAGCCTAAGAAGACTCCTATTGATTTTTGGGGTCACAAGGTCAAAGGTCAAGGTCACTATTGCCTTAAAACTGAAAACAGTTGTCGGAACATAACTTAAGTTTCATTTGCCCACTGTGTTTTAAACTTCATAGTATGATTGTCCATATTGGGTAGAAGACCCCTATTGATATGGGGTCACAAGGTCAAAGGTCAAGGTCACTATTACCTTAGAACTGAAAACAGTTTCCGGGGCATAACTTAAGTTCCATTTGGACCACAATATTGAAACTTCAAAGGAGGATTGTTTTGTGAAGGAGGTAATACTTTATTTAATTCCCATGTCTTACAAGTGCTTCATCTTTACTAAAAAAAATCACTTTCGGGCATATAATGCTCCGCCTAGCGGTGCTCTTGTTTATTCTGTTCTAATTCGTTATGTACATTGTATATGAAATCATTCTTTTTAAAATGTTTTTTTATATTTTCTCAAAGCAGCAAGAATTTAGATGACATGTACACCTACAAGATTTAAAAAAAAAATGCGCGTGTTACATTAAAAGTCACATGGTATCGTTGAAGACGTCTAAACTAAAATTTACAAATATTGTCCTTTATCATAGCTGCTGCTCTTAACCAATGGCAGACATCGTTATTCTGCTGAAGGTTTTGTAACTTATAATGCCATTGGTTACAGATGTAAGTCAATACAGCTACACCCCAAAAACAGATAAAATGGCCATTATGTTTTATGTAGGAATAACTTACTTACTTACTTACTTAGATAACTTTATTTCACTCAGGTATATCAAAGTATACAACATGAGGTTTAACAATATTTTGTAGCAATAATAGTGTCCGGTATAAAAAGCAGATCTATAACATGAATGATACAATAATTTTACAATAGGTATATATAAGTATTCATCCGATTGTGGGGGAACTCAGATGCTCCTCTGCACACACAAAACATTATATTGTTTACCATCACTGGTTATAGAAAAGAAAAAAAAAATACTGCTCAAATATGACATGTTAGGGAAAACAAAAAAACAAAAACACAAAAAAAAAACAGCTGTAGAGAAAAAAAAATAGAATGTTCGCACAAGGTACGCCGCTGCATTCTTAGTTTTAAATCTAAAATAAAAGAAAAAGCTCGTGAAAATCGTGCATTCGCACAATAACGCCGTATTTACAATGAATTTTCTAGTCAGTCATTGTGATGTTAATGAAAGTAGTTCTTCACTGCTTAGAGGAAGAGAAAAAAAAAAAAAAAAACAATAAAAGTAGGTTCATAAATGCAAGTACTGACAACTCGTGCTGGATTTTTACTTAATTGTCAGACAGGTAAATAAAGTTTTTGTTGTTGTTGTACACACACGCAGAGATATCATTTGGGGGACAAAATAACAATTATATAAATCTTAGGACATACCTTGAAATTTTAACATTATTATGCGTACAAATTTACACAACTTCATTAGAGTATGTTCATTTTTACATGATAGAATATTTTGAAAAAAGTAAGAAGTTTCAACCAAGTTGGGGATGTACAAATTTCTTTCAGAATTAAAAAAATGACAGTTTAATAAATAATGTTGCTCAGAACCTATTTCTCTAGAGTTGCAGAACTGACAAATCTTGGAAAAACATTTATTTGCGGGTTCCACCTGCACTCTGAAGCCCGCACGGTATTTGAATGAATTTAATTTTGAGGCATGGAGGGGCACGTGACCTATTTTCGATACATGAAGGGGCACATGATTTGTAAGCCGTACATAATTGATTACTCAATTAATCTTTTATCAAACGTAATTAGATATTTTGCCATAAATCATTTTAATAAAACACTAAAAAAAACAGCTAAAAATGCACACATATTTATCTTTTTTATTAGTCAAGAAAACTGCTATGTTGAAACAAACAAAAAGACAAAAATAATAAAATACATGAAGTATTGTTTAGTTTCGCCGGCTATTTCCTTACTAGTACCTACAATGGTAGGATACTACGTCATCACGCACCTGCTGGATGCTCCCACTTGGACCACAGGCGCTAGTCACATAATCAAATATTTTACATAACCGGTCTATATATGTATATAAAGATATTTTTCGTAAAATTCGACCAGAAATCGTGTTTGTATACATGAATAGATTGGACGTCGAAAACGGCATGGATTGAAAATATTGGCATTTTGTGAAACTTTTACTCATTTCTTTGCTATTTGAAGAATTTTAATGAAATAAAAAGCGTTAGTTAACGCTTGGATTGATCCTTTTCAGATGGCGACCAGAAAGAGATAACCGTGATCTGGTCGTTTCTTGCGGCAGTGTTCTTGCTTGTTCCGCATGATGTTTTTGTTTCGTTGGGGGCCTTATATCTTTATATACATATATAGACCGGTTATGTAAAATATTTGATTATGTGACTAGCGCCTGTGACTTGGACCATTTTTTCGTCGACTCGAAGGTAAAATACAATTTTATTATAAGAAAACGTAAGAGTATTAAAAAATCATGTAGCGCACCAAACAATTGCTATAGTACTTGAGATAATTGCAAAAAATGTTTATAGATTTATTGCCTGGTTTAGGCCTGAAAACGGGATAAGTGTTTTTCTCTGAAGACTCCCACTCGGACTTTTCCCGAAACATATATGAAATAAGGTTGAAAACCTCCTTAAAAATTATTTTTAACGTACCGGAATATAAACCGAGTCATGTTTACCCATTATTCCATATTAGTTTCA